TAAAATTACCAGATATATTATGAGTAGCGATAAAATATTTATTGCTTGTTTGCAAAATTTATTCTTTTTTTAAGTTTCTTACGGTGGCAATTACTTACCACCCATTCAGTACGCTTTGTAAATACAGTTTATCATTCCGCAACAATTGCGATCCTGGGAACATATTGACTGTTAAGCGCGGCTGCAAACGCTTATCATCCTCCGTCATACCCGGTACAGATGGCATCATCGAACCCCCACCAACGCCAACACCACTACCACTGCCACCAGTTTTATTGGAGTGTAGAGCTGCATAACGATAACGTTCCAATGACAGTTCCATAGGCACAGCACCAGTAGGCTCAACCTCCTCTGCGAATACTTGACTATCGATTAACAGCAAACGTACGTGACACATCACACCCGATAGGTGTTGACAAACGCGTGCACGTTCCTCCTCAGTCCAATGTGCGGTGGGTTGTGTGACGCCAGCTTGATTCTTAGCCCAGGCGAGCACGCAACGCCAGACGTCCTCCTCTTCGAGACAAAACTAATTGAATAAAGAAATATATTAAAATTACTAGAATAATTAGTAATGTGATAGGCTTACTTACGTAATCAGAGGATATCAACTTCACCAATGCGTCCTTGGTCAAATTCAGAAAAGCATTGGTTTTGGCACACTCACTGGCATTCTCACCAATGTAAATTATGCAGCGTTCCATAAACGAAGCAGCGCATTTGGCACCTGCGAAAAATTTTAACATTTACGAGTTAGCACAAAAGCGTCATTTTACAAAGAATTTAGCACTTAATGTGGGTCGTTATAAAGGCGTACCGGGTGTAATTTAATAGTTTCACAGCCATCCCTGCGTTCTCCTTTTTTTATTACTAATTAATCACACTTGCTTATCAGCTCTTTTTTTGCATATTTCACATTTATTTCTCCTTTTCATTGAAATCAGACCAAACCCAAAAATTCAAATACAATTTTTTCATTATGAGCTAACTTAATTTTTAGTTGAGTAAAAATACATGCTTTCATTTTCCCCTTGATGGTGCAACCTGAGTTGTTGGAGCATTACAAAAATTACACATTTTGCATACAGTTTAAAGTTATTGTAATTATGAATTTATTTTATTTTATTTATTTAATGCATAGTTTTAAGTCAAGTCAACGTCGTTTACGTTTAGAAATGCTACCTTCATCGATATCGCGCCCATCCATTGGCAGTCGCACATAACCTCACTTTTGTGTCGCGCTTTCCTGCTACGCCTATTTAATCCTTTGATGGGCTCACATTCTGTATCAGTGTTATGTTATCACCCTTCAACATGATGCGCCCAAGATTCTTCCGTGTACGAGTCTTCACCCAGACTTCCTCGGCGTCGTCCAGCACCAGATTCATGTATTCATCGAAGCCAACAATGTGCCCTTCGATGCGAAGCGAAACATTTTCATACAGCCACACTTGTACGCGTGAACGATTTTGCAGGTAACGAAAAATCAGATTGATGGGCTGCACCATCACCTTTTGCACTTTCGTATTGCCTTTAAAAGCCATTTTTGAGATGTTTTTTATGCACTTTATTCAAATGTTTATAACAAAATTATTAAACTTTTTAACTAAAACGTTTGCCGGCGTCGCTTGCTTGCAGGTTTTTTGACAGCACGACGCACAAATGTCAAAACGGAGGGACAAAGTGTTGTGGCAATTTTGTAAAGAGCAAAATGGAATACACAGGGTTGCTTCAATTTTAGTATACCCCAACTTTGGCAAATAATTTATAAAAAAAAAAAGTTATTTATGGACACTGTATATAAGAATATAAGGACTAAGATTCGTAGAATGTTATATCACTAGAAAATAACAGAATTTAGTTGGGATATATAAATAAATGTAAGACAGCATTATTGGGTTTCAGGTGTACCCTGTCCTGGCATTTGAGCGACAGCTCGCACCACAAATGCTGACCAAACAACGGCTATTTTCACGCCAGATGGCGCGAAAAGATGGGAAAATCAGAGAACTTAGAGAAAGTGCAAATTGAAAGTGGAAACTATTCGTAGCCGAAAAATTAAAACCGTTGAAAAAGTTAAGTAGTCTAATTTTTCAACGCAGTTAAATTTTCGGCAACGAATAGTTTCCAATTTCAATTTGCACCATCTCTATATATCTAAGTTCTCTGCTTTTGCTACTTTTCGCGCCATTTGGCGAGAAAATAGCAGTTGTTTGGCCAGTATTTGTGGTGCGAGCCATCGCTCAAATGCGAGAACAGGGTACACCTGAAACCAGAAAATGTTAATGAACCTCCACTACTTCAGCAAAAGTTTAACAAACACTGGTGGCTGAAAGCTGTTCCGTCATGCGCCTAAATTCATGCCCACGAAACAAATTAATTTTGTGCTTACTGGGGATTTATAAAGCGAACATAAATTAAGAGAAAATATAGGGGGATCAAAGAAGACCAACAAAAACCCCAATGCCATACTGATGAAAATTTTCTAAACATGCAAAAATAGGAAGCCTGCAATTTATATACATACATATACACATATAATTCTTATGCTTTTTCAATTCACTCACCTTATAACTTTCACAAATTAGATGAAGATTGCACAACTACACGTCAACTTAATAAAAAAAAAAACACTTGTTCGGGCCGGCCCGAGCCACTCGCGCACCCCATCGAAACTACATATGTATATCGCCACGAAAACTAAAAAAATTTAATTTAATAATCTATTTATGTAATTTGCTAAGTAAAACACTTAGTTTTCTTAATATTACAGAAAACTACCACTTTTCATTATATTAATCGCAAACATAAGCATTTTTAGAACCTTAACCAGAGAACCTTAACACACACTCGACGGAAACAATCGCGGTACTGTTGAAATGGCGT